CTCTAAGATCCGGAAAGGAGAGACTGTACTCCCTACATGAGAAGAATCGATTGTTGCATCCGTTTCCAAGTGAGGCTGTCGCAATGCTTGTATCAATCACAAGGACATAAGTTTAATTCTAATAGAAAATTCTAATAAAAAAAGCTGTTAGTGTCCGCTTTATTAAGCCGACCAAACTCGTTTCATGAGAGAGAAATCCGCGAAGAGATCGATAGATTGCGTCTGTCTTGGTTGCATAGATCAAATGTTCATCCTTCGTCAGCTGCTTGAGCACCGCGACATATATGGACGATAACCTCTTCTCGTGTTTTTGGTCATCAGAGCGACCTTCAACCCCACCAATTCCCCTGCCTTGTGGATTTATTTACTAAGATTTCGAGTACCCGAGAAGTATGTCCTACTTCTAACGGCACTCTTCAGACATCGGGGGATTTTAATGCGTACGGTGGCAGCGAAACGACAGCAGTGGCGCTCGTGTCATTTTTTATCAGGCCGAATGCTTGAAGGGGTATTTATCAGGAATTCGATTGTGTACTCTTTGTTAACCGTAGTGGTTCACCTTCTCTCCCTCAAAATAGGTCCAATCCCTGTCTACCTCAAATCTTACCATCAACCTTGTTTGCATTGCGAGTTTTGCAGTGATCAGTGAAGTTCGCCTCACTGTATTTCGCTGTACGATGATGATGATGGTAATAATAAACTAATTTCCAGTCCAAAGCGTTATAAGCATATCAATGGCACTAAAACCGTAAAAGACGGATTACCAGCACTAAGGCATACTGGTTTCGTGTCCACTACTGCGTTTGAAGCAACTGAATTCGTGGAAGTACAGTTTTATAGAGTGGTGACTGCATGTGATAAAGTCTGATGGGAGCTCACACATCTGCTTTGTGTTTACTACTGTCGGCTTCTCTACTTAAACGGTAATAGCTGAACTGTTGCTGTCTCTTTGGAATTGATGCCTTCATCTGGCCTTATAAAACAATGATCTTAAAATAATAGTTACTTTGTGCGAAGACGGTGATTCTTGAGAATACGGTGTTCATTCTTATGGAGTATTTTGAGAAGTCTCCAGCTCAACAGGACCTTTGACGGCATGCACCACCAAGCAATTGCTTGCACGAGATGAGTGGATAGGGACGGTCGGTGCAAGGGAAACAATTGATTTAGTCTGTTGGGACTTCTCTAAAGCGTTTGACCGAGATAACCGCCAAATTCTTCTGTGTATGCTCCATAATTGATGTATTTGACGGCCGTTCCTTCATTGGATTGAATAATTTCTTCAAAAAACGTATTATGTTAGTTCGAATTAATGGTTCATGATCAGAACCGAGTGACCCAATCCACGAGATTCCAAAAGAATCCCTACTTGGTCTTCAAGTTTGACTCTAAAACAAGCTGGATTACTCGCATTTGGACCGCTAAAACAGACCTATTTCACCTTTTCTGTTAACATACATTTGACGATACACTAGGTTTGCCGTTAACTTTTTAAAAGCCGATGGCTAAATTGTGATAGAAAGGCGCTAAAATTTGCCAAATGAAGAGAAACCGAAATAGTCAAAATGTTACAATCCAACTTCTAAGTAGAGTTTTGTGTCTCGCAAAATCACACTTTGAAACGACCAGCTCCGACTCTCTAACCGCCGTCCTCCCAAAGTCAGAAGCCAACTAGATTAGTGTGAAACTTGTATTTAAGGACGGCTTTTCACTTAAAAGGGAGACTTGCTCACCATATGTGCATGACTTAGCCTTAAGCTTTCTAGAATGTGTACTCGGTAACCGGTGTTGGAATGTTCCAGGCCAGAGGTGATCAATAAGATTAAACAAATTGGTGACTCATGTAACTGTTCGTACCTTCCGGCACGCTAAACAGATTCTCTGGAAACTTCCGTGGTTTCTTATGGATTGATCTAGATTTCTCATAGAACTAGAGCGATTTTCAGGATGATTTTTCCCTCAATAACGGAAGGGTGAGTACTTGTACTCTACTCTTCTCAATACCACCGACTTTGGAGAGATTTTAGTCTTTCAAATAATGCATCCACCTAACCATCCAAGTTACATTCTGCTAACACTAGGCAGAAATGATCACCTCAGTGGACATCTCTTTAAACTGGTGCTTCCGAGGATTCAACTAGAATGTCGGCATGCCGTCTGGAACTCTCTCCCTGTTTGTTTGTCCTGTAACCATCGTTTTGTTCAAGGTGAGGTCTCGAATAACTGGAATATACTAGAGTGTGGACAGAATTGTGGAATGCATAATTGTTTCATTCGTATTACCTTTTTGAAACGGGTGTGTAAAGGTGCTATAGAATTTATCACGTTGCAGCTTTGCAATTTGCTCATAATAAACATTTGAATTTGATTGCCTTCCACTCTATAGTTCATCTTTCATAGTATCATCTAGACTTTGAGCACTTCCCAACTGGTTCCATGAATGGATAAACTATCTAAAAAGATCTTATGCGTAACTGTTGTTGACTCACTTTATTTGCACCGTACGGATCCAGGAATTCTTGCATCTCTGTTGGTTGACAAATCTCTGGAATTGCCGTAGATCGCCGCAGTAGATTTCGTCCACCCACTCGGGGCTGGCCATCTTAGCATGTCCTATGTTTGCTCAATTAAGGCTTTTTTATTTCGATTTCACTGAACCTGATTTATCCTACCTCTTGATCGATTTATCCGGTTTTTGGTCACTGATGCATGTCTCACATTCACGGAGCCACGAACGACCGTTAGGCATGTAATGGGGTGCGATCCTAGAAACACGACAGACTACCAGCTTAGCAGTCCTACTCCAATCATATATCCATAACATCCCCAAAGGTCAACGGTAACGCCGTGAATCCGCAACAGACTGTCTGTCGTGGTTGTACACGGATAAAAAATCTTCGTTTGTAATGGTTTCAGTGAAATGAGAAGTCGCTTTATCAGTCTCATTTAGTCTGTTGGTCACGTGTTCGAGACGTGATAAACGGCAAAAAAATTCGTGATCGAAAGTAAATTTGTGGCTGTCCTAGTCTCGAAAGCCTCTGTTTCCAAAACACCAAACCAATGTCTGTCATCTGCTCACTCATCTACGACCGCAGCACGATATCTTTTGTTCTTCCATTTTTGTACTTTTATGTTGTCTACGATTGCACAAACAGTTGTCGGGACAGGGGAAGCAGCAAATGAAAGTGCTGCAATGTGATGGGGAAATTGGTGGTGTAGATGTACAGATGTTGGTGTTGGTTTTCATCTGCATCATCTGTTAGTTGGCGACTATGTTTGTTTCTCCATTTGCGTTTGTTCCTAATTTGAACTTCCATTCGTTATGTTTACACTTACTCATTGAACATTATATCTGATTCCCGTTAGTGTAATTTTTTGGAACCTGATAATTTCATATTTACTGACAACTTATTCGTTTCGTAAAAATTTTCTTGATCAATGTTTGTTTCCGTCCAGCTTGCTCTGTCAATCTGTATCTGTTAATACTAATGATGCTATTGTTCAGTTCAACTAATTTGTCTTGGTATTCATTATTGCTGTTTTCAGCTGGCCTACTGCATAGTACAATTTCTTGAGAAAGAATCTACTCTGACCGAACAAGTGGTCAAGGGTCTGCTGAAATTCTGGCCGAAAACCTATTCTCAGAAGGAGGTCATGTTCCTGGGTGAGATCGAGGAGATCCTCGAAGTAATCGATCCGACTCAATTTCGACGAATCATGGTCCCTCTGTGCAAGCAAATCGCCAAGTCGGTGTCCAGCTCACATTTCCAGGTAAACCAAACAAACTTCTCTAAGGTCGTGCAATTTAGTTCCTATTTTCACCCGATCATCCGATCAATATCAGTGCATTTGCTTTTATCCCCTTCACTGAGAAACAATTCAAGCGTAATTTGTTTCCTCTCCTCTGCGAGGTTTTCTCAGTTGGCTGCCAGAAGTTGGCGCTTGAAGAAGTTTAAGAGAAGTAAGAATGGTTCAGTTGCTATCCCATCTGATAGAACCGATCCCAACAACCATTTAACGACAAGTACCGATTTTCTACAACGGAGGCTCGCTTTGTCTTAACAACCTTGCGCTTAAATCATCCGTAACTATCTACTGATCCTAAGCTTTAAGGGACTTGCCTGTTCTCATAAGACGGCGATCTCTTGCCTCGTTTATCATTGCTCTTCAATGGATGTTGTTGCAGGGAACATGTTTGGGAGCTTAATTTGCTTTGATTGCCGAACGAAAAAGATCATCAGAGCATTCGTAGATGTCACTAGCGACACTCACATATCACTTAGCCATGAATGATTATTGTAGTTTGAATTATTCGACTCACAAACTTGTTATCTCCATGTAAAATCGTGATGCTACCGATTAACTAGGAGATGAATGTATTGGGATAGAATCCTTCGCGGTCCCGAGAGGAAAAACAAGAAAGTACGTATTTTTGGTGAGCACAAACAAAGACAAGAAATATTTAGTGGTATTTGTAGGCAACTCTATGAATTCTTTCACAAATCTCATATACTGAGAATGTAACCTTTTTTTATAAAGTACTGTGATTGGTTTTGTTCACAGTCTAGACCCAAACATGCGTGACAAATATATCTGATGAATACGCGAACTCTTCTGGGGATGAAACCAACAGAGGATCAGTGATACATAGCTTCTGGTCTACCAGCTTGTATGGGAAATACGGGAACATTTTAAAATCCTTTTGTTGTGTTTCAGCAACACCGTATGGTTTACGTTTAGCGGAAGTGTCTTCGATATCACCAACTTCAAAAAATAGGTCGAACGTTGTTCTTTAGTACCAGAATATTGAAGCTTCACTGGTTGAGTCCCATGTGTGCGCATGTTGGCGGTGTTGACCGAGTGGTAAGATCACCAATTAACGCTCCGGAGGACGTATACTGGAATCCCATCACCACCGCCTGACTTCCTCACACAGCCTCTTGATTAGCCCATTCCCCCTACCCGAAAATTGTGTCATTATGTATTCAATATATATATATATATTCAAATATATTCAATAAAAATTAAAAAAATGATTAAAAGATGTCTCTGTATAGACTTCCAGTTGTTGGCTACATATTGCTGTTCCTTGTTTAAGAAAGAATTGATTTCTATCTGCTGTGCTGGTGGGAAGTTGTAGTCCATGCACTTCCATAACGTTGATATTTCTGCGCGTAAAAAAACTTCGTTATTATGAAATAAAATTGTACCTTAGTTTTGCAAGCTAAATTTAACCGTTCATCGATTTTTTCATATTGTTCCTTTGTGGTTTGTAGGTTGCGGAACGAGCTTTGGGTTATTGGAACAACGAAAACATTGTATCACTGGTTGAAGAAAACCACGAAGTCCTTATTCCCATCTTGTTTCCATCGTTTTATCGAATCTCTCGTGAGCACTGGAATCAGACCATCGTCGCTTTAGTTGGAAACGTGTTGAAGAATTTCATGGAAATCAACAATTCCTTGTTTAATGAGTTGGTGGAAAACTACAAAGCCGAACGACAACGGTTAGTTTGCCATCTCTCCAACCTTTTTACCGTGTTCCCCTATCTGACTGACCCATCTGTTTTTACTATAAATCACATTTGTTGCAGTAAAACGAACCATTAAGTGAAAGTATGTATCATCGGGTGGTATCGGCACAGTGGTTTAGTTGCTGTCACCGACGTGCCTTGGACCCTATGATCCGAGGTTCGAACCCCGCCTTTGGTGGTAGGCAGCTTTGCTGTCACCCGATTCCATACCACGCATGAGCTAGCGGGGTCTTATGTAGTTCGCCACTCCAAGTCCCTTGGCTTTGATTGCCGGTTTCCACCACTGAACCGCAGGTCCTCGTGACTGTGGGGGTCTGTGGGGTCTGCCCCATCTACGCATAAAATAAATGAATGTACTGTTCCGGGAAAACGAAACTAAAGTAATATGAGTGTCCGCAGTGTCCAGCGCACTGAACTGACTACTAGAGACGGTAAGTACAAATCAGGTTTCCCGCGGTGAGCGAGATACAGCAGGGAAGGAGGTCGACATCGGGTGATAGAATCGAGGGACCACCGTCCATGAATTTAATCAAAGAGGCAGATGAAAAGGAACTGGACACTGTGCCAAATATCACTTAAATGCTCATCATCACCGTATAGTAAAATACAGTGATACGAGCTAACTGGAAGAAATCAAAGAAAGTGAACCTCTATTGGTCGACGCACTAAGTACACAAATTAACTGTGCATGCGCACACCTTTTCAAACATTGTGACCTGATATGAAATGACAGCAAGAAGGCCACTGATGTCGGTGTCCCAAACCAACCAATTGCAGAGCCTCCTGGATACCACCCTGATGGAAGAGAGGCACTACCTAATCATGCTGTGTATTTCTACATACCTCGTGCCCGCGTCCTCTGTTGACCTCCATGTGATTTCGTTCAACCTGGAGCTACAAGTAGAGCGCGGTGCGGTTGATGGCAAATAGGTATG